CTCATCAAGACGAATCGAATGGCGGTAAGATCATCTCTCTACGATTAATATTGGCGAAGTTATGATACAATAAAGTTTTAAGTATAATTCTGGCTAAAATTATGTTAATTTTTAGCCGGAATTATGATATACAAATATAAGAAATTTTTTATATAGTCACATCTCTTTATAATCACCAAATATGGACTGTCCCAAATGTGTGACTATAAAGAGAGTTGACTGTATATAAAATTTTTTTATAAAGGGTGTATTTACAGAATATATATATATATACTTTACAGAAACTTTAAGTTTTCAAGTGATATCATTTCAATATCATTTTAATATCATTTCAATATCGATTTAATATCGATATGATATCGAAATAAAGTATTATCACTTCAATATCATTTTGATATTAAATCGATATAGAAATGATATCAAAATAATAATAGAAATGATATCAAAACAATATCTTTAAGTTTAATTTAAAGATGTCATTTTGATATCATTTTAATTATCATTTCGATATCATTTCAATATTGATTTAATATCAAAATGATATCGAAGTGATAATACTTTATTTTGATATCGTATCGATATTAAATCAATATTGAAATGATATTGAAATGATATCAAATGATACCGTTAAGATAAACTTAACGATATCGATTCTATATTGATTAAAAATAGTAAGTTTCTGTAAAATATACAGTCAACCCTTGTTATAACGAACCCTAAGTTCTAGACCTCAATTTTGCTATAGGGCTATAGTAAAGATTTTAAGAGATTTAATTGGTTAATTCATTATAGCAAGAAAAATTTATTATAGTTGTCTGAAAAATTCACTATATTAAGGGTTCGCTATATTAAGGTTTGACTGTATAAACCATACATTTAACTTTAAAATTCAAGTTGAAATTAAATAAAAGGTGTATTTATAGAAGATGTGCATTTATAAAGATTGCATTTATAAAGATTGCATTTATAAAGAGTTGATTGTATTATTTTTTATTAATAAAGATTTTATTTATTTTTTACAAATAATAATTTTTTTAAAAAAACTTATATAAATAAAACTTAAAATAAGTTATAAGTTATATTTTAACAAATTAGCCTATTTTTTAAAAAGTTAAAAATTAGAAATATATAATTCTCTTAGTATTTAACAGTTTAATTTTGATAAACTTTTTTTTTTATTTTATAATTTTTTTAAATTATATAAATTTAAAAAAAAGTTTATCAAAACTAGATTATAAAATGCTAAGAAATTTGCAAAAAACAATTTTTTAATTTTAGTAAAAAAGATGATTTTAGCCTTTAAATTATAGGATTCTATATAAATAAGAATTTTTTTTAATTATCACAAGGGGCAATGATCACTAATAACCAAAATTATGATGATTGACCAGCATTAAAAAATATAGTGCTAGTAAAAATTAATCATTCTGACCAATGGTAATGATCACCCTAGTAATTATCTATAAATAATACTTTTTTAAAGAAATATTTTAAGAATATATAAATGTGACAATTAGAATTTTTCAACTGATTTTTTTAAAAATATTTAGATTTTATCTTTTTAAAAATTTTTCTTTTAATTAGATAACTTTTTTGTATATTTTATAAATCAGTAAAACAAATTATAAAATTTATATTTATAAAATATTATAAATTAATTAAATTTACTTTTAATACTAAAAAAATTTTTTTTTAAATATTAAAAAATAAATATAATTACTATTAGGGTGCTATCAGATATTACCTAATATTTTAGGAGGAGAGGTAACTAAAGATCTTAGGTTATATATAATACTATATAAGAAATTATATATATAACATATCTTACCTAAAGGAAGAAGGGTAAACTCTTATATTAAAGTGATATTAGGTAATATCTGACAGTGCTCTTATTTGCAATAAAATCTTCCGGTATATATAATGTGAATATTCTATAATCTTAGATTTAGTATTAGAAGGGTAATTATACCAAAATGTTAACAATTACATCCGGTAAGTATATATTTTTTTGTTCTCAAATACTTGGTATAATAATATTTTATAAATATACAACTCTAATTTTAGCAATCCTAACACTAATCAAAGATATTATACAACAATGGAAAACATTACTTCTGCAATATTTATTAAGCAAATGTTCAGTATTCCATAACACCATTCTTTTAAACCTTTATTATGTTAAGGAATAAAAGCAAATACTAATACTTTTGATATTAACTTAAATGGTTATTCCTGAACCCCGGAATTCTAAATATATTATTAAAGGGAAATTTTTCTTATATAAATAATTAAATCAGAAAAATAAAAAAGAAAATATTATACAGTACAGAATAAATAATTTTATAAGATATTTTTAAAATATAAACAATCCTTCACCCATTTGCACTAATTTTTTTTTTCTTTTTTGTTGTTTTATTCCAGTTGGATTTTTTTTTCTACTTCTTCGAAAACAATTTTTTATGTTACAATAGTGAAGTAAAAAACCTAAGGAAAATTTGTAAAGATCATTAATTAAAGAATAAACGAAATTCTTGATGACAGAAAAAGAAGGTTCAAATCAAACCGAGTCCTTTTGAAATTATGAGAAAAAAATGGAAAAAATGCTAAATGAGCAATTAATGATCAGTAGTCAATCATGTCTCTTATGAATGTTATTAACAGTAGGCGATGAAGTACCATTCGTCATTCCACCACCTTTTCCACCACTATTTCCTCCGTTATGTATACCAAAAGAATTTCCACTAATTCCACCCGTTGTATTATCTGATAATTGCCGTATCCATCCCATTTCTATAAAAAAGTCATATATCCTGGCTGTCTTATTAACATCGATCCGTATAAGATCTCGTGCTTGACGCCTCCTTAAACTTCCTCCTGATTTAGCCCATTCTTTTAGAATCGTTTCTTTTATTACCAAATAAGACTTGGGTAATATTCGTAGATTTTCACATAATTTTCGTTCAGCTTCAGATAACAAATGAACACCTTCTTCGTCATCAAGATTAAGTGCAGCTGGAGTTCTCCGTTGATTAATTTTAATAGCTGATGAAGATGGGACTGTTTTGCTACCGTATGGTGATGACAACGGAGATTGTTGCTGTTGCTAAACATGATTCATTTTTACACATGAGAAGATTTTTTATAAAATATTAAAAATGATCAATTAAGAAAATACCTCTCTTACTGAAACAGGCGGTATCTTGGCCGCATATTTTGCTGCTAAACGATCGCTATTTATCGTAGAATTCACGTGCCCATTATGAGGCCTAGCCGCTAATTCACGGTTTGTTTCCTTATAAGCCAGCCATTATTTATAAAATACGTAAATTCCACCAAGGAAAAAAATGCAGCAAAAAATAAGCAGTTAGTGCCCGGTTCAAACTAACTGATCTGCCGTAGAGAGTAAAAAAGGCTACCTTTTGTGCCTTTGCTGCCTCATATTTTACCGCTTCATTTTCAGTCAATATTCCCATTCGTCGATACTCTTGTAACTTTTCTATTTTTATTCGTGTACTAAGCTCCTCTATAAGTTAAATAAATTAAGTCAAATAATTGAATTATTATTATTATTTTTAATAAATAATATTTATCACCTAATAATTCTTCTCTTAAATCATCAAAATCTTGTTTACTCAGCACTTGAGCAAATGGCTTGATTTTATTTATCAATTCTTTTTCTTCTTTACTTTTATATTTTTCCTCCGTTGCTTTCTATAATAGAGAATAAAATGATTTTAAATAAATGTCCATCAAAAAGTTACGTAACAAATTTGCAGAGTTTAAATAACATTACATTATTTCTATAATCTAAGAGATTATGTTCAAATATTAATTTCTTACGTTCCGCTCGCTTTTTCAATTTTTTGTTATATATTTCTAGAACGATTGCTTTCATTTCTATGAAAATTTAAATTTATTGTAGAGTTAAAATACAAATGGGTCAAAGCGATTTTGTAATTAATATTACAAACCAGTGTCCTTGGGAGGATCTTGAGGTTCATTAATTTCTAAATCTTTAACAACATGTTCTGCTTCGTTGTCGTATTCATGTTCGAACTCCATTCGATTTGGCATAAATCCGGTAATTTCATGATTCGCTGGCAAACTTTGTAATGGCTATAATTTAAATATATTAATTATTTCCGATACAATTATAAGTAAAATTTGTTTCAGAAAAAACTCTAGAACAGTAATAACAAACTTTTTGAGAAACCTTAGGTGGTGGATCTATATAAATTAAAAAAATAAATAAGTAAATAAATTGTTTTAGTAACAATAAATGTTACCCGATTTATATATGTAATACAAATAAATTCATTAATACTTTGAGGTCGATTATCGGCTGACAAAACACGGCGTCGTTTTCTTTCTCTCATGGTCTCGTCATCAATCTTGAATTTAACGTTCATATCCTAAATAGTTTTTAAAAAAGTATGTATACATCCGCTTCTTAATTAAAAACCTCATTTAAAATTATACCTTGATTATTTTATCCAATGTACCGATAATAAAGTATATTAAATTATCAATTGTCCTCCAAATTTGTCACTCAAACCATTTTTATATAATTCTTTTATCTCAATATAATAAAATATCCCATAAAACTTTTACTCCGAATAAAATGAATTAAATAAAAACATTACCGGTAATGGCCATGTTTCACTATTCATATATATGTCCATATAATGCTGTTCACATTCTTCTTTAGTTTTACTCCCTATAAATTCCGCTATATCTTGCCAATTACCTAGTCCGTGCATTTCAGCTCCCTCTATCAATAATTCTTCCTCATCTGCTCCCCAATCTTCCGTAAATAAAGGAAATGAATATTGCTCCTAATTAAATCAAACAAATTATGAAATCAGTTAAGGGATTATCTTTAAATTCACATTCTCTAGTATGATCACATTTGATTTAATCTGTTCAAGTTGGTAAGCCGGGATCTAAAAAGTAATCTATAAAATACTTTAAAAAGAATGTCATTACCAAAACTCGATAATCATGCCAACTTTTGTGTTTATCTAATTCTTCTCCAGCGGTAAAACAAGTTACACATAAATCAAAGTCTTGGCATACAGCACAATTTATTCGAACCGTATTGCCGATGTTTGCATGACAAGTTTTACAACGAAACATAGCTGAAGCTATATTTATTTATTTTATTATAGACCGAAAAGAATTGAAGTCAAAAACGTATAGATCGTGCTGTAATTACGTAGTAAAAGATAAAAATCTTTGTAGGAATATATATATGTAAGACGAGAATGATCTAAATTGTTGACATTCAATCTTTGCATCGGAGAAAAAGCGACAGATCTTACTTCACTTGCATAAATGATATATACTAATATTATTGTATATTTATTTTTTATAGAAAATTTTTTATCACAAAAGATTATATCAAAAAACGAAATGTTTGTTTGTTAATGTACTACATTAGAGGAACGTTGAACAATTTACCAAAATAAACTTGACCAAAATTAGTAAAAACTTTACATGGTCATAGCTCGCATGGGGTATACTGTTACAGTAGTATTACCAATAATAATTTTAATTTTGCTGGAAAAAAGCATGATAACATAGATAATATACTAACAATTTGTCAGATTACATAATTAATGGAAAATTTATGATTTGGCTAGTATTGCTAATAACACTAACTTACAAAGTGATTGTGTAATTGTAATTGGCTAATTGCTTAGAAAAAAGATAGATTTCAAGGTTTTTTTTTACTTTATGCAAATTTAAATAAAATATATATTATATTATATTATATATATAAAAAGCTAATATATAAGTAATATAACAGATAAATTCTTGATAAAATTTTTATATAAAATATTCTTTTTTAATCTAATATTTAATATAGTATATTTAATATTACTAATAATTATAAATAAAATTAATAAATTCATTTATTTATAATAGGTTTGGTTCATATAATTTTTTCTATTTATAAAGTATAAAATGTTGTCATAATTAAATAAAAAAAACTATAAATTTATTTAATAATAATTGTAATGTAAAATAAATTTATGTATAAAAAAAATAAAAACTATATAAATAAATTTACATTTATTTTTATAATTTCTAGTATATTTCTATAATTTTTAGCTATTGAAAAACTTCTGGATATACAATATTATAAGTACAATTTATTAAATTCCTATTATCTTTTTTAGTGATAATGATCTTTAAATTTTTATTATTATTATCCTTAAACAGGTAACATAAAATTATCTATAGAAAAATACAGAAGTTGAAAAATATAATCTTACCTAATTTAATGTCTGATCTTATGATTTAATAGTTATTACAAAAGCTGGTTGTATTTAAAGCTCTGCATAAGCCGAGTCAGCTCGTGAACTGGCTCGAGCTTTTCAAGCTGAGCCGAACTGAGCCATGATTAAATTGGCTCAGTGGCTCGTGAGCCAGCTTGAAAAGAGTTCGAGCCGGTAATAGGCTCAGCTCAAAAAGCTCAAGCCGGTAATAAGCTCGGCTCAAAAGGCTCGAGCTGGCTTGTAAGTTATCATACAAAAAATGTTGTGAAACGTTTTTGTATTATAATATATTAAAAAAATATTTCGCAACATTTTTTTCGATATTCTAATAAAAAATGGTGCAAAACGTTTTTTTGTAATAATATATTTAAGAAAAAAACGTTTCACACCATTTTTTTTTTGATATTTTAATAAAAAACGTTGCGAAAATGTTTTTTCAAAATATTATATTTAAAAAAAACGTTTCGCAACATTTTTTCGATATTTTTAATAAAAAAACGTTGCAAAAACGTTTTTTATTAATAATATATTTAAAAAAAAACGTTTGCAACATTTTTTTTCAATGTTTTAATAAAAAATGTTGCAAAACGTTTTTCTGAAGATAAAGCTCGAGCCTAGCTTGGCTTGAGCCAGGTTTTTAATGGCTTAGCTCGGCTCACTTTAGCTCGAGCTGAAATTTTTTATGGCTCGGCTCATTCTGGCTCAGGCCAGAATTTTTTTTTTGAGCCAAGCTGAGCCAGACTGTGGCTCGGCTCAAGCCAGCTCGTGCAGAGCTTTAGTTGTATTGGAAATTAATGATACTTAAAAATGAAAGGTAAAGTAATATTTATAAAGGACAGGGTAATGCATAAAAGAAAAGCATATTTTCAGCATATTTTTTAGTAATAATTTTTGCCTCAATAATATTTTTCTAAAAGGAATAACAAACTAATCTTGTTCTAATAACACTTTTTTTATCTGATGTAATTAATTCATTTTCATTACTAAATTCAATTATATTTTTATTATAAATAAATTTATTATTATATATAGGAATATTTAAATACTATCTATCTTTTTTTCTTGAAAATATAAGAATATAATGGGTAATTATAATATTATATCATAATTTTAATTTTCTGTTTTTTATCTAATTCCTATAATGATAATTGTAATTAGTATATTATACCATCATAAATCTCTTATTTTATTATTAATTATTACTAACCTTAAATTTAATAATAAATCATTTCTTAGTAATTGTCCATAATGATATACTATTAATTTTCAAAAAAATTTGTTTTAAGAAAAATGAACTAGAAAAATTATTGTTAAATCTGATTATTTCATTAAATATAATTTGCAGTTACTATGTTATTATCATATAAATATGTTGTTAAAGAATTATTTTAGTAAGGTAATTCTAGATCAACTTCATTGGATAAGTAGAATCAACTGCAAATTTGTTTTAGAATATTGTACTATTTAGTTTCAATAAAGTCAGAATTAAGATTTGCTAAAAAAAAAAATTTTGTTGAAGAATCTAGTAATAGAACATTATGATATTTATTTATTTAAAGTATTTTTTGGATATATTTCATCATTTTGATTTCAGTTTTCTTGTTATCTGTACATACCAATTTACTACAAATTTTTACTATGCCAATATTTTATTAGTAAATACAATAAAGTTTAAAATGTAAATAGAAACAAAATAATGGATTAGCCAATTTATTAATGGGTTTCTTTCTAGATAAATACTTTATCATAATATAATATATACATATATACACACGAATAGCAAATTTATCTTTAGTATAATAGTATTTGAGATCATCCCTATTTAGGGTTTCAACTAGAATAGTAAATGTTAAATATGTTTGGCCCAAATCTTTTGTATTGAAACTATAGTGTTAATATTGAACGTATTTCATCATTAATAGAAAAAAATCAGGCATTCTATTGTCTTAATATCGGAATAAAATTTTTATTTTACTTTTTTTTTATTTTTTGTAATCATGGAAAAATAAATAAAACTCTAACTATCGCCGCGGCCAACGGATGCGCTGGGTTCGCTGCTCCTGGTTATTATTTGATTGATTGTTATTTTGTTCCTGTTCCTCTGAATTATTATTATTTACACCTCTAAACCCATAAGGATTTTCATCATCAAAAGAATCATCCCTAGTAATTTTACGAATCGATATATCTTCACCTGGAGCTATATTGCCTGTAAACGCTTCATTCGGTGTATATGGCGGCGGTTCATCATTATTACCTTCAGGATTAAAAACGTAAGGTGTAATCATATATGTATTTTCATTAATTTCAGGATGTAATTCATCTGGTTGTGATTGAGGTCGAGAATTATTCGGCACTTGAGGCTGGGAGGATACCGGGGAATGAGATTGATTTTGCTCTTGAGCTTGCGCTTGAGATGAACCAGGAATTTCTATGGACTGCTGAGATGATGAGGATGATTGTACAGGTTGAGAAGTGTTGATTGGCATCGGATTAATTTGTTGGGAACGAATTTGAGTTGGTTTGTTGGTTGGAATAGGTGGTGGTGCTTGACTATCTGAAGATTGAGGATTTGGATGTGATATTGGAGTTTCTGTATCAGGATAACGAAAATGAAGACTTGATTTTGGATTCAAAGAAATATCGCTTGCTTGTTGCTGTTGTGAATCATCTTCTTTTTGAGAATTATCATTAGCTTTTGGATGTCTGTTCTGCAAAGAACTTTCATTAGGTGGTGAGTAACGTGTATTACTTGATGTATTTCGTTGCGGAATTGGCGGTCGTTGTGGTTGATGGTATATTGGACATTGGGAGGGTAATAAACCGTTTGTCTGTGGTAATGAAGAAATTGGGGAATCATTTAACGGTGGCGATGTTGGTTGTCCACAGTAATTTTGTTGCGGTGGTAGCGCATTAAGATTTGAAACAGCTCGAGGAGCTCCTAAAGATAAATAAATTTATAAATTACTTAAATGTTCGCCCTGAATTGGTTTAATTTAACTTAAATATTTATGTAAATAGAACACAAACTTTCTGCAGCTTCTCTACACCTTCGTGAACAGTATGCTGAATATAATTGTTTAGCAGGATCATTCCAACAAGGTTTTGACTGACAATAGCGACAAAATGGAATTGTAGTCATAACCCATGAACCTGGTTTTACGCTTCCGCCTGGTAAGAGTTGTTGATGTGGAGAAATTCCAATAGGTGGATTAGGATTTGATTGTGGAGACGTCATCGTCGGATAACTGCCAGGATGATATGGTTGTGGTGATATAGGAGAACTGACAGGTGAGTTTGCACCTGCTGAATTCTGACACTGTTTACCACAATAAGGAGATCTTGTACCGTCAGGCAGTCTTACCATGGGCCAAATCCGACATTTAATGCATGGTGCAACATGACCTATGATATGTAATATGATTTTGCAGAATTTTTTAGTTATTTTACTAGAAAAGAATCTCTTGTTAGCACATATAACTTACGTTGTTCTACTGCAGTCTTTCGACATTGATTAGAACAAAACTCGGCAGGCTGTCCAGAGTTATCAATATATACGTTCTTTCTTTTACACTCGGCGCAGAGAACCATACTTCATAACACGCAGAAAGAGTTGAAATAAAATTCTTTTTAAAAAAATTTAGAATTGTGAATGACTTTAATGTCACACACTTATCCTTTATTCTTTCTAAATGATATAATTTCGGTTCTGTTGATCCGAATACCGTCATATCACGTGATGACAGTAACAATGTGAAATGTGAATGTTTATGCTAATAATATGCTATTAAATTTCTAAATCTAAAATAGATTTCATTCTAATATTTAAATAATTTAAATTATAATTACAAATTATTTTGTTATACAGTTTGATAAATTATTAAATATTGTGGAATAGAAGCCTCTTCTTTATAAACGACGACTTCATCATAATTAAGGCTTCCATTAGAACTTGGTTCACCAAGTACACTATCAAATCCATCAGGAGGACTTGTTAAAGTCATCGCATCTCTAGTTAATGCATATCCTTTACCCACTACCACTTTATTCAATAACATCATTTTATAATTGACTCCCATATAAGTTATTAATGAACCTTCATTATAATCATCTGATTTCGATGATGTTCCAGAAAAATAAATTCCACTTCCAAATCTTTGGAATGCTGCACTTATTGTACCTGTGCCAACATATCTTAATTTATATCCTTCTTTTATAATAGCGCATACTGAACATTGTTTATCATCACATACTTTACTTCTTTCGAATCCAATTTGACACCTCCTATGAGAAAAAGAGTGAAAATTTTTTTAAAAAAATTCATATTTATACTTTTAAAAGAAATAAAAAATACGTACAGTTTAGTTCCATGGAATCTACGTTGTTCATTTCCAGCACTCATTATACGCCGACCCTCTCCTTTGGGAAATGGTTTACCCTCCAATTGTTGTATTTTCTCAACTTCTGCTTTATAAGCATTATATTGACCGTTTAATAAACTATTGCAATATATTTTCCATATCGCATGAATTGATGGAACTTGTTTATGTGGATGCTTCCACGCATTCACAAATTGATTATGAACATCCCTATATTTTTCCGAATTCTGCGGAAGTTTTAATAGACACGGAGCTAAATAACATTTGATTCGGGATCAATTGATGTGACTATTTGATAATTACATTAAGTATAAAAATTGACATTTTACCATTATTATTAACCCATTGTTCACATTCATCACGACAAAAATCTCTTCCTTTTAATGCATATTCAAGACCACAAACAAAACACATATAATTAGTTCGTTCAACAGTTAAATATTGCCAATTCGGTGTATTATCTCTGCACGTTTTCGAACACCATAAAGACCCTTTGTGAACATCTTTAATCTATATATTAAAAAAAGATTACAAATTTAAATCAAATAATATACTACGAAATCGATTTGTATCTTTATTTACCTTACAGAAATAACATTTTGGAAGATTTCTACAACGTTTTTTGCCACAAAATTTAGATCCAGTAACATGGGGAAACTCTTTACACAGAATACAAACAGGGTTAGCTAACCCAGCTAAAGAAGCATCTTTACGACATTGATCACTACAATATTCACTAGGATACCCGTCAAGATCCTTATCTACTAAATTACTGGAACAATTTAAACAGTGATTGTCAACTGTGTCATTAATGGATTTTTGATCGATACTTATTTCTTTTTGAGTATCATCATCCGATGAATATAAAAGATTAATTGCTCCGGGTAAAGGGGAACTATTGTCATTTGTATACGTTGGGTTTTTATAATATGCACTATTGTCACTAGGCAACGGAGTATTGTATAAAGGTTGAGACTGAGGCTGCGAAACTGGCGGTATTGGTGGTAATGGAGGTGAAGGCGGTGTATGTGAATATAGGTTGGGTGGTATGTTTTTTGTTTGGATTCCATTATCCTCGTTCTAAACGAAATGAAAGTTTCATATTAATAGTTTATCGTGGTGTTTAATAATAATTGTAACTAACACATTCATAATTTACCGAATTACTCGAATTACTGCAACAATTTCCCATTGTTAGTAAATCAGGTGTAATTAAAATATTGAACTTTAATCGATTTAACGATTAAATTTTATTAACAAAATCAATTAAAAAGTTTTTATTCAATCCGTGTTTAAAAATTTACACGAGAGTATCATAAACTCCCATTATTCTTTTGAATTTGTCAACTTGTCCTCTATTTTCTATTATTTCTAAATTTGTCACACTGTAACACGACACTAAAATTTGTAGATCATAAAAAAAATCATGAATATTTTATTTTTAGATACCTAAATTTAGAGATATATGTACACTCTAATCGGATATTAACCAAAATTGAACAACTTATTCCCATTGTATCAATATCGTAATTAATAGTGTTATTATAAATAGAAAGTCGAGAGTTTGAAAAACCATTTAGTTATAATGCAGAATCAACACCATAATCAACAACAGAAACTTCAACTACAACAAGGTTCTCAATTTTCTCCTACTCTCCCTCAGCCGGAAATAAATTACGGGAGAAATATGAAAAACTCTTGTGACTGTTCAAAAATGGGCAAGGATGAACGCGATCCAGAAAGATGCGCCTTTTGTAAGAACGATCACTATAATATATCAAATGGTAATTTAGAACTTCTTTATACTTTTGTCTTTGTTCTTTATAATTCTCGTAATAATGTTATTTTCATTTCAAATGTCCCATCAATATGTAAATATATATTCGAATGGATATTTTAATTGACTAAGAATTCAAGTATTCTATGTGCTAATCCTTTATCTTATCATTAATAAATTTTAGAATTGAATTCGCAAGGAAATCAAGTTATGAACGAAGTTCGAAATGATTACGATCAAATTCCTATAAATGTGCAAATGTATACGAACCTAACAGCGAATCAAGTAAATCACCATATGATGAATCAGATGAATCATCAAATTCAACCCCCAGGTTTGTTTTGTAAATGATTTTAATTTATATCGGCTAATTTAAGTAATGAAAAAATTTTTCTTATTAGTCCGAGAACAACCACCACCACCAAACACAATTTGGTTTTATAATAGAAATGAACCATATTATGAATTCACCAATTTCAAAGAAGGATTTCCAATAAAGGCAGCAATTCGAGAACCCTTTCCCGGATCGCCACCGGATATAAAATCATGGGCAACAAGTGAGCATCTATTTCAAGCAGCAAAATTTAAAAATACGCGTCCAGAAATTGCTGATAAAATACGTAGATGTCCTACAGCTAGAGATGCATTAAATATGGCACGTAAATATCAACAATATGTAGATCCAAGTTGGCAATCAATAAATGTTCAAGTAATGGAATGGGTTGTAAAGAATAAATTCGAACAGCATCCCATACTTGCAAAACGTTTATTGGGGACAGGAGATCAAATTTTGGTGGAACACACTGAACTTGATAGATTCTGGGGTGATGGTGGGGATGGATCAGGAAGGAATAAGCTTGGAGAAGTTTTAATGAATGTTAGAAAACACCTAAGAGACACTCAATTACATCTTACAAATAATAACGGAGAAAAGAGTCCATTGGGAGGGGGTACAGAGGCAAATTCAATATATTCTATGTCGAGTCCTGCAACATCCTCAACATCATCACTACCAACATCCCCCATGTACGCAGGGAATGGAAATATTCATCCCGTTAAAAAAGGACAAGGATCTTCTCAACAATCACCAATACCACCAAGTCCGCCACCATTGCCTCCACGTAGGTCTGAAAGGCGAGATTTGCATAAATTTCAAGAAGAAAAAGAAGGTCAAATTCAACAACAGATTCATCAACAGCACCAACAACAACAACAACAACAGATTGTTCAACAATTACAAATTCAACAACAGATTCAACAAATGCAGCAACAACAAGAAGTTCATTTAACTCATCAATATTTTCAGCAAATGCAACCTCAACAAAATGTTTATATACCAACAGATAATGGACCAACTTATTATGCATCTGCTCCTCCACCATATAGTGAACACGACAATATGTAAATATTCGACTCAAATTTCAATTTATATATTACCTATATTATTTAATTAGATAGTTCATATTATTAGTTTATCATACAACATTAAGGTAAATTGGGTAATTGGTACATGTTATTACATGTACGAAAACTTTATTATTTATACAAATAGTACAAAAACATAATAAGTTATTATTTGACTAAACTTATCACTACTAATTTCATTCAACAAAAAAGAAATTTATAATGTATTTGTTACAAAAATAAAAAAACCATATTCTTTAGAAAAAACATAAATAAAAAAAAATAAAGCATATAGTTACATTTATTAATAATAATTCCGATAATAACGCTTTCGCAAATTATCTATTTTTTTCCAGATTTTCTGGGAACAACATGAGCCTTAGAAAGTACTTTCCTACTATTATCTTTAGTACTCTTTACACTAATCAATGGAAAACTACAAATTTCTACTTCCAAATCATCACTTGCATCATCATCCCAAGCACCTTCCATAAGATTATTTTGTACAGGGGTTCCCGCGTCAAAGAAATCTTTAAAGTCGGGAATGGGTTCTTGAGCATTTAATCTGAAATATAAATGTACAAATTCCGTGACTAATTTAGTGGTATTCTCTTTCAAGACGGCCAATTTTTCTTTATTCATTTGACGATAACGGGAAAGAGTGTCAAGTATCGTTGTCGTAAGTTGTTCAATGAATGGATGATTATCTTTACAAAAACCTCTTGTACCCAATACAGCATAAATTTGTTGTCGAATTTTTATTGGAGTGATTTTTGTGATATCATCAGATCCTTTACGTGTTTCAGCTAAATGATTAACCAATCCAACTAATGATGTCATTGTCAATGAAATCTCCACTTCTAAATTATTGTTATGATCAACCGGGGATGAAGGGTTTCTTAAAATCGAGTTACTATTAGTAGAAACAATTAAAGAAGAAGAACGTTTTGGAAGAGATTGAATATTTTCTCGTGCAGCAGCAATGACAGATTGGGCTTGTGTTTGAGCATTAGAAGTTTGAGCATTAGAAGGTTGAGGGTTATTTTGCTGCTGCTGCTGTTGTGGTGGTTGTTGTGGCTGTTGCTGCTGCTGCTGTTGCTGCTGTTGTTGCTGCTGTTGTTGCTGCTGTAATGATTGTGATGGTACTTGCTGTTTGTAAATTAATGGTTTTGGTCTTGTTCTTGGATCACATTGAGAGAGATAATTAGATAAAGCTTGAAATAAAGTTTCTATGATTAATCTTTGTAAGGCAGCAGCCAATATTGATTTCCAACTTTTTCCACTATTAACTCTAGTCAAACAATTATATTTTTGTAATAATTCGTTTGCTGTATTATCGATGATTGTAACATCTTTCCCTTTTACCGTGGTAATTTCGGCAATTGAATTAGCAATTTCTACAATAGATTTTGTTAATTGTACAGGGTTATTACTATCATCATCTCCCCACCTTACGTTTGTAGCTTTACCAAGCGCGCTTTGATATCTAGAGGCTTCTTCTTTTAATTCCATTAATTGTTTCTTTAAATTTTGTGATTCTAAGTCAGATTCATTTGCCCTTTGCTGTAAACGTCTTTTTTCTGAATCCATTCTTCCTTGAAGTTCTTTATAATTCTTTTGCAATTCTTCATACTTTATTTGTAATTCATATACATTTTTAATTAATTCCCCTTTCTCATTTTCAACCGTCTCATAACGTGATTTATATCTTGAAGCTAAATTCTGCAAACGTTGAGCACTGTTTGAATCTACAGATTCTGGTGAAATTTGTAGTATTTCAATATCTCCATCTTCCTCAATTTGTTGTCGACTTGTATCGTTGGAATTTCCTTGTCCTGTTAACATTCTTTAATAAGAATAAACTTTGTTTACTAAAAGTAAAATTTTAGACTCTTGTAATGAAATACCTCTATACTTATTAAGGTCGGTTCTTCGTTTTCGTGTTGGGGGTGGTGGGCCATTATTGTCATTATTACTTTGAATTGGTGAGATAGTTGATTGTCTAGCACCCGGATTTGAAGGATCCGTAGGCATACTTATCATCAATCGTAATTAAAAAAAAAACTATTGAATTTTTCATGAATTTCGTTTAATTTCTGTCACACTTTGTGATACAAATTTAACCGTCACTTGATAACACTTATTTATGTCTCAAATTTTAAATCTGAATTTTTATTTGCAAAATTTTCATTGATATAACGATCATCATTGTTTATTTTCCAAACTTGACACCTTTTTATTTTTTTTCCACTTTTTTTTGGATATCAAAGGTAACCATTTTAAAAAATTCATTCATGTGTTCAAAAAATTCAATTGGTTGATGGATTTCCTGATCGTCGCATTGTTTGAAAAACTGCTACATCTATCTGTTGTGATAATTTCAATAGGAGAAGAGCTCCGTATACGCCATTGTGTTATTATAATATAAATAACATTAATTAAACGCGAATTAGAATATAGAAGGACGTCTTCGACAATTTTTGTTGGAAATTATCTCTATTTAGACTAGTTCCAATCTGTTGGTTTGTCTACTCTATAATTGGTTATTGTCTATGGATTACACAATATTATTTTCGTTTTTTCGGCAAAATTCCGGGCAATAATCCCTAACGTGACCAAGCATTAAGAGATGAAACGGAGGGTACAGACTACGGAGGGGTACGTAATCCTATCCATAATTATACAAATATTATTTTTAGGGTTTTGATTTAATTATAGTTTCTTGGTTTTTTTTTGACTTTCGTTGAAAAAAAGCGCTCTTTCGCTCTTTTTTTAAAGAAAGATTAAAATTTATTTAAATAAATAACATAGAGTTTACGTTAAAAACCCTCCATACGGGTCAATTATATATAACCATAGAAAATATTATTAATTATTTTTACAGCTTAACGGTAGGTGTAAAAACCTGAAAATAGGTGTTTATATAGTTTATATGTTTATTGTTAAACTTTTTTTTGTCATTTGTGTTGTCAACTAACATTTTTTCCTACCTTTTTCCTCATTTGAAGAAAAATTAATTTGAGTAGGGGTAAGAAATTTAAAATTTTTTGAAACGAACTTTTAATCAATATAAAGACTTTTAAGTACATGAAAATATATTAACAAGCATTTTTTTTCCTTACTATCTTTAATGTTACCACTACCAGCCGACACCTTTTAACAAAGCTTTTTAAGAGTAAATAAGACAAGACTATACTTAATTAAAACCTTATTGATAGAATTCAGCAAAGATAATTTATTTATTAAAAATAATATGAATAATACGAGAGATATTCGAGTAGTTGTAGCTATCGGTATGTTTCTATATCTCTAAGTGGTATTACTTGTGGAATATTTTAAATCATTCAACTAATCTATTTATGTTATGAATAATTTTGTATAAAATAGACTTTGGCACAACGTTTTCAGGTATATAAGAGAGGTATATTGCTTTTAACATTGTTAATGCTAAGTTAAAATATGTGTAATTGTTTTTAATTTATATATTAGGATTTGCTTATTCAAATAAGATCAATCCAGAAACAATCACCAATGATACAGTAAGTAAACTCAAAGAAATTGAAATCCGATAAAGCATATTACTAACCAAGTTTGTTATTTCAACAACAATAATAATAAATTTATAGTGGTAAGAAAATTAAAATATAGATTCTTCCTTCGAATTATTACCTTTAGATTATTTCTTCTAAATATGATATTTAATAATAGGCCAGAACAAACAGGAGTTTTCAAAACCAATACAGTACTAGCATATGATGATAATTTACAATTGGTAGCATGGGGATATCCTGCATTAGCCCAAGAACCACCAAAGAAGAAAAAACTTCAAACTAAACCACGAAAACCTGTAGAATTGTTTAAATTACATTTGGCTAATGTAAAAGATGATGATAAACCACCTCTTCCTCCCGGTTTAGATCCAAGAAAAGCAATCACTGATTATCTACATGAAATGAACAAAGTAAGATAATATAGCCGGCAATTTGAAAAACAATTACTCATTATATAAAATTGGATTTAATTTTTTTTTTCATTTTAGTTGGTTTCAGAAACACTTAATTCTCGATGGCCAGGTATAAGGTATCCTCAACAAGTACGATTCGTGCTATCAGTGCCTTCAGAATGGTAATTATTATTTTTCTCATCCCAATTTTTTTATCATATTTATTTTTCATATGTAAACTTTATTATTCTTTGGTAGGCATCATGACGCCAAAGCCATTATGAGAGAATGTATGTTCAATGCGGGTTATTTGGAGAATAGACAGTCTGAAAATCTGGAATTCACAACTGAACGTATGTTAAAAACACTAAAAAATATGTTGTACATTTATTATAGTTATTAAATCTAATTTTCTTTTTGTTTTTTTTTAAAAAAAAATACAGCCGAAGCAGCTGCCGTATACTGTATGAAGAGTTTAACTGAACATCACTTATCTGCTGGATGTAAATATACTTTAATCTTAACTATTTTATTTTAATTAAAAAAAAAACTAACTTTTTATCAATAATGATTAGCATCATTTATGATTGTTGACTGCGGTGGTGGTACAGTCGATTTAACAACCAGAACCTTGTTGCCTGGAATGAAATTGAGTGAGATTACTGAACGTAGTGGAGATTTGTGCGGTAGTTCATATGTAGACCGCGAATTTTTAAGATTCCTTGGGAGGAAATTAGGATATGCAGCTATGAAAAAATTAAAAGAAAATCATTATGGACAAATGCAATATTTAGTACAACAATTTTGCTCACGAGTAAAGTTTTCATTCAATGGAAATCCAAATGAATTTTCAACCAAAGAATTGGATATCGAAAGAGTATGTCCAGCATTGATGGAATATGTTACAGGACATGCAAAGGAACAAATGGAAGAAGCTGATTGGTTGATTGAATTGGATTTCTTAAATGTAAAGGAAATGTTTGATCCTGTTGTCAATAAGATTATTGATTTGATTACAAAACAATTAGCATCAACTGAACGAAGATGTAGTGCAATGTTTTTGGTGGGTGGATTTAGTGAATCTCAATATCTACAACAACAAATTCGAAGACAGTTTATGAATCAAGTGCCAATAATTGCCGTACCAAAACATCCAATTGCTGCTATCGAAAGAGGAGCCTTGGAATATGGGTTGAACATGGAAATCGTACAAACACGTGTATTGAAATTTTGTTATGGAGTTGAAGTTAGTGCTAAATGGGAAAAGGGTGACCCACCGGAACGTAGAACTCCCTCGGGGCGAATATTTAAATTCCATAGGTTGGCGTTAAGAGGTGTAGAAGTTGCTGTAGACCAGAAATTTTATTACACTGCTGGTCCTGTTGTGCCAAATCAAACTGATATGACTTTTAATATTTTTATTACACCGGATAATAATGCTAAATATTGTGATGAAGATGGTATGAAAATGTTGGGCAAAATGAAAATAGACTTGCCTGATCCTCAACGTGGAAAAAATAGATTGGTAGAATTCACTTTGACTTTTGGTACTATGGAAGTTAAAGCTACTGCTATCAATAAAAGAACTGGGCAAATTTATGAAAGTAGCTTTATATTGGAATTCTAGTAAAACCAAGACTTAAGTAGTAAGAAAATTATTTAATTGTCCTATTAATAATCATTATTCTCTTTTTTTTCATTATATATATTTTTTTTTTATTGGAAGCTAAATGTAAGATTTAGTAAGTCAAATGGTTGGGCAGTTTGAAACTGGTTATCTTAAAAATTTGAGTTAGAATTATGTGATATTTGTGATATTTAATATATAACTAGTTTTTTAAACCAAATTCATTTTACTCTTTTATACATTTACATTCATCTTATTGCATTATTAATATATTATATAATCTTAAAATTTTATAAATAAAATTTATCTGGTTAAAATTCTATTATTGCCGTTTTCAAAATTACTGACAAATTCCGATTTGTGAGGTTTGATATATGATTTTTCGTATAACAAAAGTGAATCACATTTTTACGCGAATTTTTAATATTTTCATGTCAAATTTTTTTTCTGAATCATCAAATTCAAGATAAAATGTATATCAACGCAAAATTTCAGCATATATTTAATATAAAAATTTTGGACTTTTACTATATCATTTATTATAGTCATTTATATATAAAAATAAAGTGAATCACATTTCTGCATGAATTTTTAATATTTTTGTGTCAAATTTTTTTTGTGAATCATCAAACTCAAGTCAAAATGTGTATTAACGCAAAATTTCAGTATATATTTCTTATAAAAATTTTGGACTTTTATTATGCAGATATCATTTATTATAGTTATTTATATATAAAAATAAAGTGAATCACATTTCTGCATGAATTTTTAATATTTTTGTGTCAAATTTTTTTTGTGAATCATCAAACTCAAGTCAAAATGTGTATTAACGCAAAATTTCAGTATATATTTCTTATAAAAATTTTGGACTTTTATTATGCAGATATCATTTATTATAGTTATTTATATATAAAAATAAAGTGAATCACATTTCTGCATGAATTTTTAATATTTTTGTGTCAAATTTTTTTTGTGAATCATCAAACTCAAGTCAAAATGTGTATTAACGCAAAATTTCAGTATATATTTCTTATAAAAATTTTGGACTTTTATTATGCAGATATCATTTATTGCAGTTACTTATTAGTGCACCAGAAGGAAAACTAAAAAACAGAACATATATAGAGAAAACTGACTTAAGCAACACTGTTATGAAGACTAATATATGGCTTCAAGACTGTTAAGATAATTTTGGAATATGGAAAGAGTCTACGACGAAAGTTTCATTACTGAAGACTTCGTCACATTTTTGCAACAAAACCACCTTTTTACCAACAGACCGATGCTTTTCAAGATACTAGATGAGAAACATGCGACAGCGTCATAACGACTTAAGCGCCTTACTAAAGATTACCTTTGGAAGACTTTTACTAGTCTTTTGAAACGCTTTGAATACGACTCTCTTAAGCCTTCTTCGCCACCTATTGTTTACTCCCTTCCACTGGCTTTTCCTATTCGTCAGGTCACAAGACTACCGATTAGGATACCATCAGATAACTTTTAGATCATAACACGTTCAAAACTGGATGCGTTTTTGAATGTATTCCAGAACCTGCTGGCCAACTAACAACAAATACTGGATATGAAAGATAACTTCTATTTTGGGTTAACCTTGGAAATGGACAACTACTTTTGGACATTTAATGGCTTTTTTGGTATAACATTCAGCTAAACTTTTATCCGATATTGTAGAACTAATTGATGTTGATTTATCTTTAAACAACTATCAATAAAAATGCTTGACCTTACCTTTGATTGCTCCTACATACCCCGAAAGAAGAAGGATAGGAACAAAGGCCTTTTATTGTAACGCCGCTTGTTTTTAATTTCTTTTATTTTTTTTTATTATTTTTATTTTTCTACTTTTTTCTATTTTCTTTATAATATTGCAATAGATAGAGCTTATGGGTTGGTTAATAGATTTTATTGGTTTGGGATCAGATGTACAGTGGATATGGTTATATTATAGTATCGGAAACTTATTCATCTGATGGACAACCTTCTCAATTACCAATTATCAAATTCTTCAACTTATAATGAGCCCAATTCACACGATATGAAGATAAATTACAAAAAAGTAGCTAAAAGTCTGGAGGGACATCGGTCTACTGACTTCTTTTGCCTGTAAAGTAGATCTTATGATGTAGATGTAGACCTCTTTGCGAAGTCTACTTAGATTTGGATATATAAAGGGTTTATTGAGATGATTCTTACACTTTTTATATTTGTTTTTTCTTTTGAAGTTAGAAAATTATTTTTTTTGTCTGTATCATAGTAGGTCCCATGGCAACATAATTAAGAAAGTAAGGCAATTGCTAAGAGTGATCCATTTCTACACGTGGTCCACCTACTGAGTTAAATAACCATCTGACAGTGTACACGTGGGGTAATTTTATATTATGACAAGTGGTTTAATAATTAATAATATTAGATAGAATATAGTTTTATATATTTTACTTTATGTATTTATGAATTATAATTTTATTTAATAAATTATTAAATGCGCTGCGGCAAAAAAAAAAAAAAAAAATATTTAATTTAATAGTAAAATATTTCAACTTTAAATTGCTACTATTTTATTAAAAAATACTTTATAAGAAATTTAAAAATATAGTTAGTTTAATTAAGCTTAATCTGGTTTATCATTATATATTTATACACAGATTAAAAAGTAAAAAATTAGGTATCAATCAGTCACCAATCAGTCACCAATCAGATAACTGATTAGTGACTAATTGGTGACTGATTAGCATTTTTGCTAAATACTGTTACCAATCAAGTAGTTTTCTAACTTTTGATCCAGTGATCAGAAAGAAATGAAATATAGCTCATTGAAATTATCTCAACAAAACAAATCTAATGGTAGTAAAATCACATTTTTAGGATTAATAGTTAATAAAAAATTAAATAAAATATAAATGATACATTTTTATTTTTATATTTTACTTAATATCACATCAAGTATTAATCCTAAAAATGCAATTTTACTACTATTAGATTCGTCTTATTAAGGTGATTCCAATAAACTATATTTTATTCTTTTCTGATCACTAGATTAAAAATTAGCAAACTGCTTAATTGGTAATGATATTTGGCAAAAATGCCAATCAGTTACCAATCAATTACCAATCAATCACCAATCAGTTACCAATCAGCTACCTAATTGGTGACCGATTAGTGGCTGATTAATGCCTGATTTTTCACTTTTTGACCCATGATACTTTATGTTTATTTTTTTTTTGAATGAATAATAGTAATTTAAATTTCATCAAATTTAATGATTGCTTAGACTAAGTTGTATACACTGTAATAAAATTAGTATTCCGAAAAAAATCTGATCTGATTCGTATCCACAGATCTGATCTAAAACAGATCAGATCAGACCAGATTTTTTATGATCCGTGATCTGATTCAAATCAAAAAAATTTGATCTGTTACGGATTGAATCGGATCAGTTATTTATTTAAATCAGATTAGATCGAATCAGGTTTGATCAGATCTGGATCAGATCTGAATAAAAAATGTTTTACGCAATGTTTTTTATTAAAACAATTTAAAAAACTGTTGCGAAACAGTTTTTTTAGTTATAAACCATTTCGCAATAGTTTTTTTAGTTATATAAACTGTTTTGCAATGGTTTATATTAAATTCATTAAAAAAACTGTTGTGAAATAGTTTTTTTTAGTTATATAAACTATTTTGCAATAGTTTTTTAGTTATATAAATCATTTCACAACAGTTTTTATTTAAAACAATTTAAAAAACCGTTGCAAAACAGTTTTTTTTAGTTATATAAACCATTTCGCAACAGTTTATATTAAATTCGTTAATAAACTGTTGTGAAACAGTTTTTTTAGTTATATAAACCATTTCACACAACAGTTTTTATTAAATTCATTAATAAACTGTTGCGAAACAGTTTTTTTAGTTAAATTGAAATTAAAACCATTTCACAATATTTTTATTAAACAAATCTTTAAAAAAATGTTGCTAAAGCTTCGAACGGGTCGGTTTGGTCCGGATTATAGATGGTTCAGATTAGAGCTGAAATCTGTAAGAACCAAACCAAAAAACCGGCGGTTCAGTTCAGTTTAATCTGATTTTTATAAAAATGCGAAAAATCAAATAGCCGCTTATCTAGTGATCGTACAAAGTTGAGCCATATATACAGTCAGACCTCCATAATTGCACACCCCTTGGGACCATGTGCATAATTTTTAAAATAGTGCATTTAAAGAGGGTGTGCATTTATAGAGGTAAAATAATTAGAGATCATATAAACTTGGGACCGAACCAGAGGGTGCATTTAGAGAGGGTATACATAGTGGGTGCAATTATGGAGAGTGCAATTATAGAGGTCTAACTGTAATTGGATTCATTTCAACAAGACGCGTCGAATGGTGGTAAGATCATATCTCTAGCATCGATAGATCACACGTTAACCCACGCTAAATGATTTTTCAATAATTGGAATTATTAAGCTATCTATCGATGCTAGAGACATGATCTTAGCGTCATTCGACGCGTTTCAGTGAGATGAATCCAATGAATATAAATTCGTCTGTATACGACCACTGGATGGCGAATAATGTCAAGTTTCGCATTTTTTTAAAATTTTTGGGCGTTAAAAATTAAAAATTCTGATACATGAATTTATTCGTCATTCAATGGTCGTACAAAGTCGAGCCATATATCATTGGATTTGTCTCGATGAGACGAGTCGAATGGTGGTGAGATCATGTCTCTAGCATCAATATATCGTAAGTTAATTCATGCTAAATAATTTATAAAAAATTGGCATTGGCAAGCTATCTATTGATGCTAAAGACGTGATCTTACCACCATTCGGCTCGTCTCATCGAGACGAATCCAATGAGTTCTAATTCATATTTGTACGACCATTGGACAACGAATAAATTCATGTATCGGAATTTTTAATTTTTAACACCCAAAATTTTAAAAAAATGCGAAACTTGACATTATTCTCCATCTAGTGGTCATACATGGACGAATTTATATTCATTGGATTCATTTCACTGAGACGCGTCAAATGACGCTAAGATCATGCCTCTAGCATCGATAGATAGCTTGATAATTCCAATTATTGAAAAATTATTTAGCGTAGGTTAACATGTGATCTATCGATGCTAGAAACATGATCTTACCATTATTCAACGCGTCTCATCGAAACGAATCCAATGATATATGGCTCAACTTTGTACAATCACTAGATGGGCGGCTATTTGATTTTTCACATTTTTATAAAAAATCAGATTAAACTGAACTAAACCGCCGGTTTTTCAGTTCTAATATCCGAACTGAACTGAACCGAATTTTGAGCCAGTTTCAGATCGGTTTCCCAGTTTAGCCTGAAACGTTAGGAGCTTTAAATGTTGTGAACCATACTTTTAATATCTGATTCAGATCAGATTCAAATCAGATTAGTTTTATCTGAATTGAATTCAAACTGAATCAAATCAAGTTCATTTCGGATTCAGATTGGATTGAATCCAATTATTTTTAATCCGAATTCAGATCAGATTAAATCCAATTTTTTTTATCTGAATTCAGATCAGATTAGATTTATTTCAAATCTGATCTGATTCAATCCGTTCAGAACACTAAGTAAAATTCTAAATAATATAGGTTTAAATTTGCTTAATAAAATATAATTTCAGTTTATTCAAATTATTTGTAAATCAGTAAATTTAATTGTTAATTTACCAAAATTAACAGTCTTTTTTTTTATTATCAATAAAAAAATAATTAATTAATGTAAATTAAACTGTTAATTTTTATAATTTATAATTAAAAATATGTAGATTATAGATAAAATAATAATTAATAAAAATAATAAATTAAATATAAATAATTATTAAAAAATAAAATGTTGCGAAACTAATCAGATAGTTTTTGATCTGCATTATGCTTAATTTTGATCTGCATTATGCTTAATTTTGGCCAGAATTATACTTAATTTTGGCCAAAATATAACTAGACTAGAATCTCAAACAATACTGATACAATTCACATTTGAAGTACTAACAGTCATACTTTATTAATTATTATGCGCACTCAAAATATATACAAAAGATAACAAACATAAGAAAAAACAAAAATGAAATAGTCATACGAAAAAGTACATATAGAGAAGAAAGCCAAACTATAAACTCCTAATTCGTATACCTCAACTTTAAACCACAAATAGCAAAATTTCAGGTCAATTACCCAGGTCTAAACAATTTCAATCCATGGCAACAAAGGCTAACATATAAGTTCAGACAAGGACTGTTCAATTACTCTGACAACCCCAGCAGATAATAAAATCCTAAAAAGGCCAGGGTCACAAATTTGTAGCGAGAAAGGAAGCATATCGGCTGAGAAAGAGTAATGCATATTAGCTATAAAAAGAAATTTAATAGAAAATGACACTATATAAATACATTGCAGAAAATCCAATATTCTGCAAGTAAATACAAAATGTCCAGTATATATTTCAAATAAACACGCAAAGCGAGTTATTTAATCATAAATGGAAGGATGAAGATAATACAGTCTATCATAAAATTTAAAATCTGCAGACAAAAAAAGAAGGAGAAACTAAGACTATTCCAAAACCTGAAAATCATATAAAAAGTTTCCAAAATAACCGACGTCCATAAATGACCCTTAAGTCAAGGAAGAAGGGCAGAGACAAAGGAGCAGGAAGTTGTTTTGAAGAGATCTCAGTCAAATCCAAAGCAAAGTATATAAAGCGGAATAAAGGAAAAACAAACTGAATAAAAAAATAACTCTATCCATTCAGTTTCATAATACATTAAAGTTTCGTCATCGAAAGACAGGAAAGAAGATTCATCATCAAAATCTGAAAGTTCATCATTCGAATCAGATAAAAATATCAAACTTGTATCATCATAGGAGGCCAAAATGGGAGAAGAAGGACGAAAAAGAGTTGATGGAACTAGAGGAAGACCAAATGCAGCATACATTATACCCATAAATTCATCTATTCTTAGGTCATCCTCAATTAATTCATCTTCATCAACATTAGGATCGAGGTAATTATTCCAATTAATAGCCAGAGAAATAATATTATACATGCTACCCAAATTATTTTGGGATGCCATAATTATAATTTGGGATGTCATAATTCATTCGGTTTATATATAATTTACTATATAAAGTGCCAAAATAATTTGGGATGCCATAATTGAATTTGGGATTTTACTTATAATTACGGCAGTCCAAAATAATTTGGGTGGCATGTATAAATAATATCACCAAAAAAAATATCTGAAGAACCCATATTTTCAAGGGAACTATCCAAATAATCTACATTATGGGAATTCAGATCAGCAGGAACGAGACTCTTAAATGAGTTATCAACAAAAAGATCCGTAGATGAACTGATTGGTGTAATAGGATAATCAGAGGTCGATCTTTCATAGGAAGTAAACTGAATATCCTTTTTTTTAGCATATACATCAGAAATAAATTTCTGAGTAAATGATGATAAAGTATTCCAAAAAGGAGTGTTAATAAAGGGCTCATAACGAGCTCTATGAAATAAAAGATATTTTCTGATGTAAGGGAGATTGTGAGAATATTGAACCTGAAGAGAAATAAGCTGAAGGATAAGGCAAGGGTCATCCTCATCATTGTCAGAATCTTCTTCGTGTAAACCTTTGTTAAGACACATAACCACTCAATATTATCAAATAAAATAATATTAAACAAAAGTAAATAAAAGGGGGAAAATTGTCTCAGGTAACTGCCAAGAAACCCTATAGAGACGAAGAAAAATATTTAAATTTGTTTTAATTATTTAACCCCAGAAGGGGAACGGAAAAAGAGTTACGAAGATCTTCTACAACTTACATTTGAGTTTGCGTAGAGTTTATATTAAAATTTTTCAAAAGTTGCGTATTACAGAGTATTTTCAAAATTTCATTATTCTACATACCCCTATTTTTGACATAACTAGTAGTTCAATTTTAATAAAATTTATATCATTGGATTTGTCTCAATAAGAGGATTCTAATAATAGTAAAATCGAATTCCTAGCTTTAATATTGATAGAGTTATGTCATAAAATGTATCTTTACTTCAGTATTTAAAGTTTACTTGTGAGTTATATTAGTATTATTTGGAGTTCTACTAGACCCTAAAACTTATATTTTTAAAAATATTATCTATAAAAGTTAAAAAAAAAAAGTTTTAAAAAAAGTACCAATTTGCTCAAAAATAAAATATGACTTTGTAAAATCAACACAATTTGCTAAAACTCATAATTATAACTATTAATTAATTTTCAATCAATTTTCTTCATCTAAAATTATAAGTTTAACCTAATTTTGATTGAATTTGTTAAAACTCAAATGTGAGTTATATATGTAATATCCAGGGTTCTATTTTGTGGGTTAATTTCTCATTCAATTTTAATGATCAACTGCATATCTAACTTATACAATTTATGGCTAGAATGTAGATCAATTTGGCTGCAAAATTATGTGACAATCTACTGACAATCTGGACAAAATTAAAGAATTTTTTATAGTGTTATTTATCTTAATTTAAAAATTATAGGCAAATTTGCTTGCAAAACAGTTTAAAGGATAATCATACATTTAGAAGCATACCAAAAATCAGCTAATTTCTCTCAATTACTAGCCTTAACCTCTACCCCATCTGATTGAAATCTGATTGGCTAAAAAAATTATTACTATTAAATATTATACATAATAATTAGTATTATGTAATTATTTTGGCTTCTAATGATTCAATTTGAACAAACTTTTTTTTTGTTTTGCAAAGCTAGATTTTTAAAGTTAAATGAGTACTATAAATTAAAAAAAAAGTTTATTAAAATTGGATTACTAGAAGTCAAGATAATTGCATTATAATAATTATTATAATATAAATACAATTATCTTGGCTTCTAGTGATTCAATTTGAATAAACTTTTTTTTATTTTGTAAAACTAGATTTGTAAAACTAAATTAGAGCTATAAATTAAAAAAAAAGTTTATTAAAATTGGATTACTAGAAGTCAAGATAATTGCATCATAGTAATTATATATAAAAATAATTAAATTACTTATATTTATATTTAGATATATAAATGTCACATGATATATATAGATCTGATTTGAAGCTTAACTTTTCCACCCTTTTCAAATCAGCTGATTTCTGGTACGCCCTTAGAATAATCTATATTAGATGACTATAAAGAGATGTTACTATATAAAAATTTTCTTATATATATATATATATTATAATTTTAACTAAAACTAAATATAATTGTGAGTCCTGTAATCACCTTATGAAGAAAGTATACATGCTGCCCAAATTATTTTGGGATGCCATAATTATAATTTGGAATGCCATAATTCATTCAGTTTATATATAATTTACTATGTAAAATGCCAAAATAATTTGGGATGCCATAATTGAATTTGGGATTTTACTTATAATTACGGCAGTCCAAAATAATTCGAGTGGCATGTATAGAAGAAAGAGGGGCATTTACACTAAGATAGGAAGTTTCAAACTTTCCTTACCCTCTGAGCAAAAGTAATCATCCGACAGTATACATGTAAGATGCTTTAATGCATGACGAGTAGTTTAGTAGTTAATGATATTAGATAGTTATTTAGAGTTCTATACATTTGTAATTAGCTTTAATTTATATTTAATAAACTATCAAATGCATTGTAATTAAAAAAAAAAAAACTAAATATAATTTTAATTAGAATTATATTTAAATTTTTATTATATCATAACTTTACCAATCTTGATCATAGAGAAATAATCTTACCACTATTCAATTTTCTTAATAGAATAATTTTAATAATATAAAGTATATCAAATCTAATTACTAGATTAATTTTTAAAATTAATAAAAAATATTAAATGATTTTTAGGTAGTAACTTTACCAATTTTGATCATAGAGAGATGGTATTGCTACTATTTAATTTGTCTTGATAAAATAAATCTAATAGTATAAAATACATTAAAATTCAATTATTAGATCAATTTTTGAAATTAAAAAATATTAAATGGATTTTGAATAATAACTCCATTAATATTGATTATAAAGAGATGAATTTATTACCATTCAATTTAATTCCAATAAGTTATTAATTATTTTTTTATAATCACTAAATACTGAATAATTTAATAAAGTGTTAAATAGTATAGTAAATATAAATCAAGAAATATTTATTAACCAAAAAAGAATAATTCAATTAAATTAAATATAGATTTAATGGTAATTTAATTTGCGTCAAATTAAGGTCAATATTTTTGGTACAATTCAGATGTCAATAGTTTCCCTATGAAAAGTCTTTACACTTAAAATATACTTAAAATTCATATCTGCCGATTTGTGGAATTTGCTGATCATCAATTATGTGATGCAGTACTGATTAAAATTGATCAAAACCCGTTCCTACGTAAGAAAAAATGTTAAAAATATATAAAAAAAAACCTTTAAGACCTCTCCCAAAATATTTACCTCTTTAACCTGAAACTAGTAGAAGGAGTTTCTAGAAAAAAGGGAAAAAAATATTATAAAGTTAGTTTATTAAAAAAAGAAAGAAAAACTTTACAAAAATACAAAAAAAAATTAACTGAAAAATAATTAATAATAAATATCAAATAGATTATAATTAAACAACTAATCAATACATAATTTAATTTCGCTAAATCATTGTTATTAATATTTAGAGTTATATCTTTATTGAAAGATTTTTTTGAATAATTTTGCTTTCTAAATAAATTTTTTTTATAAACTATAAAAAAAAAAAAATAAAAAAACAGTTCCAAGTTTTGTCTAATGTAAAATAATTACTAATATACTTGCAAAAATTCTAAATTTACTTGATGTAAAAACTGGTTGAAAAGTTGATGGAGGAGTTGATGAGGAGTTTAATAGGGAGTTTACGAAAGAAAAAAATTTTTTTAATGCTACTTTTTATTGAAGTAATTTCTTGATATCTGTCATATGATCATGTAGTACAAGTGGGATCATTTTTGCAAAACTTAATTTACCTAATTTTTATTAAATTATTGTCAAATTTCTTAATTATGACGAATTTTGTTAATTCTGCAGATCGGCGGATATGTTTATTAAAATATACTTAAAATAAATATCAATTTTAATTTACGATATACTTATAATATATTTAAAATATGTCTAAAATACTCTTAAAATATACTTTTAATATACTTGATTTTTATGCTCAAGTACTTAAAATATACTTAAAATATATTTAAACTAGAACTTAAATATAATATAAATGTATTTTTTACATATTTAAATATTCTTAAAATATGCTTAAATTAAAATTTAAGTATAATATAAATGTATTTTTTATATATTTAAAACATATTTTAAGTATAATTTAATTATTTGGGCAAAAATCAAGTACATTAAAAGTATATTTTGAGAGTATTTTAGGCATATTTTAAATATATTATAAGTATATCATAAATTAAAATTGATATTTATTTTAAGTATGTTTTAATAAAATTTTAGGGTTTTAAATTTTGACTAATTATTCAACTATAAATATCCAACATTAAAAATTTAAGTAAATTATAATAATCTAACAATAACCTATTTTTTCTAAATTTATTTCAATTTTTTATTATTAAAAATTTATTAAATATACTGTATTTATTAAATGCTTAAAAATTTATAATTATATTATTATTATTAGTATCTATTTAATAAATTACAAATAAATAATTCAAAATTAAATTATGTAATTTAAATTTTATAATTATATGATTTATATACTATTCATATATACAAATCTTTGATTATTCTTTGAAACTTATCCAAAATTTTTTTTAAAAAAAAAAGTTAGTAATTATTCTATAATATAGTTGTTTTCAAAATTCAATTGGCAAATCCAAAATCCAAAATTACGAAATCATAATTAATTACGTAATTACGTAATTAATTACGTGTTACAAAATTAATTACGTATTCTGAAATTCCAAAATTTGCATAATAGTGCGAAATTGCGAATATCTCGGGATCTAGTGATCAGATTTCGATGATCTTACTGATCTTACTACCATTCGATTCGTCTCATTGAGGCGAATCTAATGATATGTGTTTCATTTCTATAGCACCGATATTGATGAAGTAAAATTACTATAAACATTTAATGAATTTTGGTGTCGAAGCACGATCTAGTGATTAGATTTGAATGAATTTACCACCATTCGATTCGTTATGACGAGATGATTCTAATGGCGGTAAGATCATCTTTCTAGCATTGAAATTGGTGGAGCTATTACGCTATAAATATTTAAAAGTTATTGGTATCAGATCGCGATCTAGTGATTGGATTTAAATGATCTTACTACAATTAGAATCGTCTTATCAAGACGAATCAAATGGTAGTAAGATCATCCAAAACGGATCACTGAGTGCCGAGTTATTATTTGTTAAAGTTTATATATATAAATCGGCTAAAATTAAGGCTAATTCTGGCCAAATATTTTTGTAATACGAAATTAATTACGGAGTCCGAAATCAATTACGGAATACAGAGTTTTTCTAATGAATTACTTAATAATTACAGAATTACGTAATTACGTATTTCCGTAATACTAAAATAATTTCAGACACAAATATATTCTATAATATTAAAAAATCAAGATTCTATTTATGAATTTTTGGTTTTTCTATTTTTTAGAAATTTATTCGAAATACTAAATCTATAAAGAATAATTAGTAATCATTTATAATAATAAAATAATAATAATAATAAAATCAAGATTCATATTTAGTTACCTCTTTTTTACTCCTTAAAAATCTATCTAAATCTATAAAAAAGAAAAAAATGGTTAGTAACTGTTCATATATTAAAAAAAAAAAAAAAAACTAAGATTAAAAATTATTTGTAATAATAATAAAAAATAAAAATAATAATAAAGATTGTTTATAATATAATGAAAAATATAAATTTATGAGTAATTGATCTATCTATATAGTTCTAATGTTTGATCAGACTGGCCTGGAGCTGGAAGTATTATCATTCATAGAATATTTGTGATTATTATGTAATCCAAATATATTCTAATAAAATGGTACATGATTCAACATTTAAAAAAAAAAATAAAAAAAAATCTATCTATATAGTTATAGTTTTACAAAAAAATTGTAATTATAAAGTATTTAAATCAAACATTCTTAAAAATTCTATATAAAATCCAATATATTATTAAATTGATAACTTTTAATTTTAAATTAATACATGAATTAGATTTTTACCAGTAATTATTTATTATTTTAAATAATTATTTTATATATTTTATTTAAAAATTAAAATTAAAAAAAATGTAAATTTGAGTTTGTAAAAGTTAATAAACAGAATTTAAATTATTTATAAATAAATATAAATATTAATTGAAAAAATAAAATAATGTTAAAGAAAGATGATACAGTTTGCTATCTTTTTACTAATGTGTAATGGAAAAAAGTATAGAAAACCAGAAAAGAGTAGCAGATTCTATAAAATTACCAAGTTTTCATAAAATTTAAAAGTTGTTATTATAAAAGATAAACTATATATAAATATGCTATTCAAATTATTTTAGAATACCATGATAATTATAATTTAGAATGCCATAATTTATTCAGTTTATATGTAATTACTATATAAAGTACTAAAATAATTTGGAATGTTGTAATTAAATTTTGGATTTTACTTATAATTATGGTAGTTCAAAATAATTTAAACAATATGTATAATAAATTAGGTTTATATTATATTGATAAAAAATATATCTCAATATACATAGGTCGAAAAGTGAAAAATCAGGTATTAATCAATCACCAATCGGTCACCAATCAGTTATCTGATTGGTGACTGATTGGTGATTGATTAGCATTTTCACTAAATACCGTTACCAATCAGGCAGTTTGCTAATTTTTGATCTAGTGATCAGAAAAAAATGAAATATAACTCTAAGATATTAGTTTTAATTATTTTTTAAAAAATTTTGAATTACAGTTATAAGATTTTTATAGCCTTAATTAATTACAGTATATAAAAATTTTGTATTACAACACTTTTTCAAATTACGGCTAATATCTTTATATAGCTCATTAGAATCGTCTCAATAAGCTAAATCTAATAGTAATAAAATTGCATATACTTGATGAGAAATTAAGTAAAATATAAAAATAAAAATATATTATTTATATTTTATTTAATTTCTTATTGATTATTAATTCAAAAAATACAATTTTACTACTATTAGATTTAGCTATATTTCATTTTTTTTTGATTACTGGATCAAAAGTTAGTAAACTGCTTGATTGGTGACAATATTTGGCAAAAATGCCAATCAGTCACCAATCAGCTACCTAATTTGTAAACTGATTGATGCCTGATTTTTTACTTTTTAACCTGTGATATGAATTATATAAAAAGAACTTATTATTAATAATTAATCTAGATTTACAACTTGAATATATCTTATAATTTTAATTAAAGAAATAAGTTTTACCAGATAAAATGAATAAAAGTAGAAGTTTATTCCATAAATCATTATAAATATTATTTTTAAATATAGTAAAAAATTAGTAATTTTAAGGGTCCAGTATATTACGTCATCATTTGTATATGACCATATGACGATCATTTTATATGATCACGTGACCACGAAATTGACGAGAAAACTCTTGGAAAAATAAAATATTTCCCAACCTACCATATGAATTTTATTAAATATACGTTCAAATAATAAATATAATGCATCCTATCTACATTTTAACCATTTATTAATATTTCTATATATTTTTATGGACAAAACTTAATGAAAATACCACGCCAAATATATAATTC